CCAGGAACCATAAGTCATACCTGCAATGTATAATTGAAATGTCTGAAATTCATGTAGGGTTTATTATGCAGGCTCTGCACCATCATTCTGCGTGGTGCACTTTAAATTGATGTCATCTCATCAATCTGCTGGAAATGGAGCCGGGGCCTCCATTGTTGGATTGCCAACAAATACCCCCATTTGTATCAATTATTCAGACCTAAACTGCTCCGGTAACAGAACCTCATGTATAAAGTTTCACTTAACATCTTGGCTTTTTGTGAGGGAAAAACAATAAAATGGCTTGCACCTTTTTTGGAAATGCATGCTTGATGTCTCTGTTTATCGTTTATATTTTTTCTCGTTAATTTGTCAATCTTCCACATTACACCCCACTCGCATCAAAGTTATATGTACATTCATGTGTTAAAAAATTCAACATGATTTTTTGTGATGTGTTCCAGTCATTTCAATGCTTACATGTACATGTGTAAATATTCGGGGATTACATTAGATATGCATTACAGTGTAAGCACATGTAGTCCCTTTTAGCTTTAACCCATCGGACCCCAAATACTGAAGTAATACTGATACTGCTTTATCCCAGAAATTCTTGGAAAATAACCTGGAATAGTTCCAATGAATAAACAAAAGAAGTTTGAAGTGAAATTAATCAGAATACTTCAAAACATACATGTACTTGTGTATCTCATATCACCAATGAAACTGGGAAGGCCACTTTTGATTTTGCTTTAGAAGAATACCTCAGATTTATGGTACATGTACCTTATTCCAAACAGCAACCTTTTGTGCAAGGACTCGGCACATTTTTGCAATGTTTTGTCAAAGTTCAGCTTTTTATGTGTAAATAGCAATGAGTTCATAATTTACATTACTTTTGTGTTCATTTTTGATTTGCGCAATTCTGCACCGACACTGTACATGTTAACAATGAAACCAGGTGATTCACTGTCAAGTGGCCAATTTGAGACAAAAAGGCTCGCTTATGCAGCATCTGTTCTGATCAGACAACAAGAGAAAGGTATCAACATGAGTTGTTTTCAAATTATGTGGCACTTTCTTTGCCCTCTCCAGCATCCAGCAAATTCAAATGTACGGTGAAAGTGCCCAATGGGGGCCGTCTCCGGCCAGGCCCTGGTCTCCTCTATTTCCACGACAACCACTTTGCCATCACCGACGAGGTGCCCTCAAGGCTGGTCGGTGGTTGGAGTCTGTCCAACCTGTCCCGCTACGGCCTTGTTGAGGAAGGCTTCGCCTTCGAAGTGAGATCAACTAGTAAAGGTGAGACCAAAATTTTGAATTTGTTGCGAAGGGATGCATGTGTACCAACCCTACTGCTTATCCATACCCTCATATATCAGGGTCAACGTTATTTGGGCTTCTTAACTGCTTCATGCTTGAGGTCATACAAACCTGGAACGCTTTTCTACGACATTTTCAACCACCTGGACACTTACAATAAGAGATAAATGTGACCCACCTTTTTGCTTTTCTGAGCAGTACATTTTTAAGTTAAGCAAAATTTCGTACTGAGCAACTTTTTGAATTTTGCCCTAGATTCATAAACTCTACTCTCTGCTAGGATTTAAACCTGTTTTAATAATTCTAAGAATTTGAACCTAGACCTACCACTGCTTGTCCCAGCAACACCTCACTAAAATGTGACCATGTAGCTTTAAGAGTCTGGTTTTTTCAAGATGATGTGCATGTCATAAATATTTACCTGTCCTCTCCACAGATGGGGGTGCTTTCATTGTGATCACGCAGCAAGCGGAATCTCTCAAGTCTCATTTTGATGCTGCGACATACAGCAGCTGTACGTCCAACAGGTGGTCCCATGTATCCAGCACAGGTAGGTTTTCTGCCATTTACTGAAACCCGTGAACTCCTGTTTGATGCATCTCACTTTTCCAAATCCAATTGGGCATGTCCCACTCACTGTGCCAGCATCATACATTTATGCACTCTACATAAGTCTACCCAAGGCAGGGGCCTTCCTGTGGGGTGTGGAATTATGAGAGATTTGCTGTGCTTGCTAGCGTTGTGTTTCTTCAATCAGGAAAGACCATTCTTTGATCATTGAAAATCCCTCAAATGTTTGCAAGTTTCCTGGCGTGGTTATAGGCTGTTGGTTGTCTGATTTTAATTACAGCCCCACCAGGTCATAGCTTAAACACTAAATCTGAACTTGTTTGTATTCATTCAGTGAACGAGTGAAGTATTTAATAATTTTTTTTGTTGGCAGTGTCCATTCACGAGGAGCTAGTTCCTAGGAGGAAAGACTTCTCGGAGGAATTGCGTTGCTTACTGGGCTCAAGCAAGAATGGCGACCACCTGTCGGGAGACGGCAATGGACAGGGAGGGACGCTACCCTACCAATTGGGCACCAACCAGATCAGGAGCCCGACTATGCTGGAGCACTGCTCCAACCGACGGAACCAGCTCTATCGCAACCAGGCCCTGGGCGGCCGCTTTATTGAGATGATTGAGATGGACCAGTCCTGGGCAGCGAGTGGTGGTGGCAGTAGTAGCAGCAGTGGCAGCAGCGTGGAGACCATTTTCAACACCTGTGACGGGCTGCGTTCTCCCAAGAAGACCACGCCCATCCGGGAACAGAACTACGAGATCATGGCCTCTTTCAACCACCTCAGGGGGGCGGAGGACTCCTCCAATGGCAATGAGCCCCACATGGGTGAACTGCACGAGGCTTGTGCAATCTGCCAGGGAGGCAAGAATGTCCCTGGTGTGGACAGCGACAGGGAAGAACATGAATATGTCAATCTTCCCCCACCTAAAAATGGCAAAGGGTCCAATCAACAGGGTCCTGCAGACAGCAAAAACCTGAACAGGAGTCAGGTCCATGTACATGCTCTGGAGAACACACCAGAGCAAAGTAAAAAGCAGACACCTAAATTTTCCAGTAATTCTGTGCATGCACGAACTATGAGCTTGCCACTTAACGAGGATTATTTACTTTCAAAATATGAGCATGAGAACTCCAGACCTCCATCAAGTAAGTCAGGGAATGCCAGGAGCCTGTCAGTTCACCCTTCCCTGGAGTACTCGGATACTCTCCCCCCACCATTCAATGATCTCCTGCCAGCAAGCACCCTGCAAGACATGCTCCAGGATTTGCCAAACGCAGAGAGGACCTCCAGGGGCCGTCCACCAAGAGATGCCCGCAGCAACATTCCAGTTCCATTCCAGCACGGGGATCTGGTGAAGCCCGTCGGGCCTCTAGCGAAGCTCAGACTCAACAGCACCTCCAGCAGCAGCAGTGAGTCAGTTAGCTCGGCGAGTGAGTCCCTACTCGAGTCCCAAACCTCCCGCAGTGCATCCTTCAGCCGGCCACGACAGTCCTCCATCGGGGCGTCCTACCAGAGAGCTTTTGCCAAGATTCACTCCCGCAGCCACGACGAGCGGCCATCATCCCCTCCCATCGATACCACAGCACTAAAATTCCCATCTCGGAGTTCAGATCCTGACTTCCAGAGAGTGATGGGACAAAGAGATGAAGACGTAGAGACTTTTGTGTACGCGAGGAAAGGATCAATCGAACGGAGACCAGAGAGCCCAATATCCAGTGCCCCATCTGTCACATCCTACATCACTAGGAGAAGGCAGTCCTTACAAAGGGCTGATTATTCATTGGGTAATTTTCCATGTTATGTGTATTCAAGTGTAGTCCAATTTAAGAGCTTGATAATTGCAGTTTGTAGTGTATTTTCTGAGATTTTTTGTGCCAGTTAGATTATAATATTAATCTTGTTAATATCCATGATTTTGTCTGCTGCAGATGAGGCAAAGGCCCGGTCCTTTGAAGACAAGTCCGTGAACATCCCAAGACGTAAACGCTGCAATACAGATCCCTCGGTTGTCTTCACCACCCCTGGTGACGGCACAGCATGGTGTCGTGATCCCAATGATAATGATGATCCAGATGGTGACGGTTATCTAATCATGAAGCCCGTGTATGAAGAAAAGTTGAAGCGTTTCCAGTCACGTCAGCATTCCAGCCCCATCATCCAGACCATGCCGCAGAGCCCGCTGCACTCAGGTGAGAAGAAGCCCTCCTTCCTGCAGTCAAAGCTGAAGCGCTCGGCTACGGTGAGTGGAGAGGTGAGCTCACTCTCCCCAATGCGCTTCAGCCAGCGTGCCATGAGCCTCCGCGAGCGCCCCACCCGCGGGTTTGCGGGGACCCCACCGGGAGACAGGAAAGCGAGCATGGGCTTCGTGGAGCGCTTCCTGCGCAAGCGCGGGGGCTCTGAGGGCGCAGTCAAGATGGACATCCCGCGACCACGGCACAAGCATAACTATGCCAGCATTGACCGGGAGAATGTGGCCCGGCGTGCCAGCCTGAAGGCTCGGATGGAGAGTATCGACAACCCTGTTGAAGTAGACATCTTGGATGATGCTGAATTCAGTGAAAGCCTCACCCAGTTTATGTTAGAGAACCCCCCACCCTTAGAAGGAAACATTGGCACATCTTCAGCTCCCCCCAGCATGGAGTACAACCAACTTCAAGCCAAAAGGGGACAACCTACAAATCAGGACAATGGGATCAGTTTCACCGCTGATGTTGACACAGTGGTCTTCAGTGAGGCTAGGAAAGTAGAACGCTCTGAAGAGTATATCAACCTATGACAAGTAGAGATATGTTTGCTCTATTTATCCATCACATAGTTTGTATGTGGACATTGGACCTGAGTGGTTTCAGTGGCACCCTGAGCCATCCCATGCTGGCAACGAAATCATGGAATTTTTTTTTTCAGCGTTTCGGTTTTCATCCACGATTCCAATGGTGGTCAGTAGTAATTACAGTGATCCTGAATTACAGTCATTCCGAATCCTGAAGGATATGACTTTTTTGATCAGTTGGTCAGTTCTTGACAACTGGTGATTTTCAACTTCAAGAATCTTGACTCCTTTTTGTCACAGGCAGAGGTGTGTGTGTTAGAAATGAGTTGAGATTTTTTTATCAAATCAGAAACTTCTCAGAAGGAAAAGTTGAATAATAACATCAGTGAAAGAAGAAAACTATCAATTTGTACGTAAAGCATCACCTTAAATGGTACTAGTGCAAAAAGTAACGAGTTCAGTTCAAGGCAGTATTTGTCCTAGTTTCTTCGAGCATCATATATTTTGTAATGTGTGACGTATCAGTGTGTTGTCAGTCGTGAGTTACATGTACACCTGATGACCAATGTACATGTGAAAGTTTATTTATTACCTACCACTTTTATCACTTTTCTACGGTGTGACAATTTTCCAACTTGCGATCTTTATTGTAAAATAAAGTGCAAGTGCAAGATGGTACAGTCATGTGTGATAGACCAAAGGGGATCTTTTTTTAAATTAACTTTGTTCTAGAAGTACACTGTACTTCATACGGATTATGTACGTGTAGTTTTTAGAATATCACATAAAGATGTTGTGATGTGAGATTGTCGTGAACGAGTGAATGTACGTGGTCTTGTCATTTTAATACTCAGATTAATACAGCAGTAAATGTCGAGAAAAAGCAAAGAGAAGCATACCTGTATGAAAATTAATGCATTATGCATTGTCTTTGAATATTCACACAGGTTTTTTTTTTTTGATTCTTACTTTTGTTTTCAATTTGGTAGGGTAGAAAAATTCTCTGAAACATTTCCTACTTTTACTTTTCAAACATGGAATAGATGTAGTAATTATTCTCATATTGCTAGGCTGGCAACTATAATAATTTGGTAATTCATCGATCATGATTTCTGCTATTTTGGCGAGCAGGTCTATTCAGTTATACTTTTCAGTTCCGTTAATTGAGAATCTTTTCAGAAGATACAGGACTGAGCGTTTGAAAAATTCTCGCATCAAAAGCCCTTGAAAATCTGCAGAGAAGAAAGTGAACTGAGCACAATTAGGGCAGTTTTAATTTGCTGTTACAGCTACATGTAAAAGTTAAATGGGATCATGATGACTGACCGGGATTATCAGGATAAAATCAGCTTTCCAAAAGAAAATACAATATTCGTTCCAACAAAAACTGTATAACCCCGTTTCATGCCTACACATACGTTGTGCACATACGGTGGAGTTCTTTTTGACGTACACTGCTGAGTTCTTGATCTTCATTTCGAACTGAGAAAGGATCTCATTTCAGCAGTTTCAGATCTCATCGCAGATCACTTTATGCACCTTACATGTATGTCTCCTAATGTGACAAATTTGTTACAATGCACGTTTATGCAACAGAGACTTCTAGAAATACATTTTTATGCAGGTTAATCCACACTTCTTCCTTTTTTGGACACTATAGCACATAACTTCTTCCCTGTAATTAATGCAAACTCTTCTATCCCTAGTCAAAAAAGGTTTGTAACTGATCTCTGTATAACATAAACGAACATCATTGCAAAGTTGAAGTGAACAACCGATACCGCATCAACGATTGGTAAAAAAAAACTGTCCCCCATCTACTTAGTTTAGACGGCAATTCGCAAGTAGAAATGTCTACGTACCCACATTTCTGGCATTTTGTTTAGCCACTCTGGATTGCAACGGTTAGTGTCGTTGCCATGGTGTAATAAAGAGTGATTTCAAGAGCAACGTTCGTTACTTCCACCGAATTGCATTGCAAGTTACAACTGAGCACGGTTGGTTTGTTGATGTAAAAAAAAGAGGAAGATCTTTACGCGACGCAGAAGGTTGTGATTATGGGCATTCCCTGAACGTGTACATGTACAAAGAGTTTAAGGCTGCATCCAAATCTGTTGTCTAGAGCTAGGTCTAGGTCTTCGCTCTATTGGAAATGTGTGGAGACGCGTGGACAATAGACCTAGCCGTAGTTGTGGAAGCCCGTTTCGGACACGGCCTAGATCTGAAGCTTTGCATGATGGAAGTTACATGAGATATAGGCTTGCGGGTACACCATGGTATCGATCTCTTTTGGAGGATGTGTGGTTTTAAATCACCGGTTCTTCTAAGAACCGCACCTCTTCCAAAAGAGGATTGATTCCGTGGTGTACCCGCAAGCCTATATCTCACGAAGAGTTTATTTTCAAAACAGTTTATTTATCGAATTCTATAAACAAACTCTTCAGTTGTGCCGCTCTTGGGGAAAAAATATGAACTATAGTTAACCTCATTTTTTTTGTGAGACAGATGTCAATCGTAGGAGTATTGCTTTTGTTTAAAAAAGTTTACCATGCTGTCTTTATCTGTTGAGATGTTTTCATTTTATTTATTGTAATCATTGCGATTTTACATTGTAATTTACCCGTTGTATTCATTAGCAATTATCAAATTCAGTAATAATTATTTTCCAGAGAGTATTGTTTGTTCAGCTGCAAAACTGAACGACAAAAGATTAATGCTCGTCTTTCATTGATCATGTGTGTATATTTATGTTGGATGTGAAGACACAAAAAGCTGTTATTATGCAATATTATTTGGATTAATTTGTACATGAAAAAAAGCAAACAGGAAAAAATATTGTTTGGCCATGTGCACCTTCGTGTCGCTGTACAGTGTAATTATTGAGTTGAATTATATTTGTACATGAATTATATGAGAATTTCACCTGCAAGTTTTTTTTGTACAGTAAAGCAAATAAATATTTAATTTTCAAGGATTTCTTTGTGAAGAGCGCTTTGATTTTAACAATGAATCCATCCATGTTAAAAATTCTGCAAAGTGTTAAAGCTTGTAACCTTGCTTTGACAAACATTCACAACCATGTTGGTCATACCTAAAAAAAGACATTGTGCAATAGCGTTGTTCGGTGGCAAACAATACTTCCATATTGGTGAATTCATGGAAATCCACGTGGCAGTCAACACAAAGTTACAGATGGCATAATATTTTGACACCTGCAAAGAAACCGACAAAACACCCAAAAGAATGTCACATTACAGCGCGCATGCTATACCTTCGGCATTTTCCCCCACCGCGACTGCACAAAATGAGGTGTGTTCAAACAACTCCAGGTGCAAAGTTCGTCAGACAGGATATTTGCAGAACAACAGGTGGTGAGTGATACCGTGAGATGCTTCCGGTTTGCGAAAAAAATATCTCGAAATATTTCCTCATTTTGATTACATGCCCCGCATAGTAAAAAAAAAAGAAAAAAGAAACAAAATCCATTATCAAATGCACATCTAAAGAAAAGAAACCCAGAACTGGTTGCAACTGTTCCCAGAAATGAGTTGCGTAATTTACAGAAAAAAAAAGAAAAAAAAAGATTGCGATGTCCATGGCGTTTCCCAAAAATAGGAGTGGCAAAACTTGCAGAGGAATGAGAAAATGGGGTTCACTCACCGAAGCCCTTCAGAAGTGGTTTTCGTTCTGCTTGTCATAGATTTTAATTCTCATGACAGAAATGAAAATGTTTACTGAGCAAAAGAAAGTGGAGTGTTAAATCCGCCGCTGGAATGACATAGCTTTTAACAATTTTCTTTTGCTGAAGTTATGTAAACCACGTGCGCAAAGCGCACTCTTGCGTTAAAGTTTGTGTTCATGTGAAGCAATGTCAGGTGGATCAGAAGTCAGTGTTCGTTTCATTGGCAAGTCGTTGGCCGTTTTCCAATACTCAATTCGGCTCCGTCGGAGGCTTAGTGTTCTTTAACTAGCTGACGTTGAAGCTGTAAGCGCAGTAATTAGTTTAATAGTGCCACAAAACATCAAAAAAGATGCAAGAGAGCCAGAAATTACAGTAATCCAATTTAATTTAAACGCTTCAGACCCACAATCGGGGATTGGTTTTGGGAACGAAGCCTCCGACGGAGCCCAAGTCGAGTGTTGGAAAAGGGCCAAGAAAACCTTCAATTGACAGACAACGCCAAATGTCTTGAGTGTATTCAAGCGTATTACTCGTGTATGCTGTTGCATTCTGACGCTGCATGCGTGTCGTTGCGTTATATTCCGAAAGCAGACTGGTCCAGAAATCCGGATTTTTTTTTGCAGAGCAAACAAATATCAGTCAGGTGTTTCTATAGCTGTATAGTGCCTTATTTAACCATCGTGTCCTTGTTGCCCTTTCATCATATACAGTGGCATACCTGGGTCGGGGTAAGTGAAACCGCAACTTAACGTTATTGCTTAGTTTTTCTAGTTCAGATTTTCACTTCGTAGCTGTGCGCTACCTGAACCAACACCTACACATTGGGAAATGTTTGCTGGAATACTTACCTCCATTCAAGGAGCCCATCATCACGGACCCCAATTTGTTAAGAAAGTTCACAGGAAAGAGTTCCCGCATACATGGACAACACCAATTTTTCCTTAAAATGTTGTAACAGCCATCAGACAGTGATAACATGTCCTAAAAAGTGAAATTTAACTAAGAAATCCCGAAGCATTTACCCAGAAAGCACTTAGGTTTTTCATATTAAATCCTTGGTTTATGCACGAGGCCTAGGGGCATCAAGACTGTTGTCCATATATGGAACTCTTTCCAATTCATGTAAACTTAGTTGAATTGGCACAACCAGCTCAAGAAAAGAACGTGAAGATGGATTTCTTCCAACAGAAGAAGTTGTGACCCATTTCAGTTGGAATTATTTCACTTAAGATATTGTGATGCCTCAGGTCAGCATATGCTTCATCCACTTAAAAAAAACACAGAGATTCATGCTTATTAATAATTGTACAAGTTCTCTAGTTCATTCAGTTAAACTTTTGGTGCCAAACACAAGCTAAAGGCCCAAAAAATGTTAAAATATGTGATTAAAACTTTGCCTTGTTTAATAAATCTAAGTAATATTCGAAGAAATTGTGTTTGAGGGAAGAGAAGCGTTGATGACTTTCCTGGAATCCGTATTGCGTTTTGCAAAATGTATAAATTGCAAGGTATTCCGCCTCCATACCTTGGTAACTTCTCAGCAAGTGATGTGAGAACACAAAGTTACTTTTGTGTCTTAACTATCTTGTCATTTTCAAAATTTTCGTACTTTTTCATATATTTATCCTCAAAGACCCCCCTTCTTTGTTCTCCGCAGAAAAAGAAGCTCTGAAAAATAACGATGAATAACCGTTTCACTATAGCCCCAACAATATCAACTTCTGAAGCTGTAGTTACGCGGGTGTCTTCTAATTTTTAACATTAATTGTCCACACTAGTTCTTAACTGCTTTGGAGCACTTTCAGCCCCTGAATCCGAACCAGTGGCATATTTGGGGGGGGGCAGCTTGCCCCCTATTTATCAAATAAATAGACTATAATTTTTTCGCCATTATTATGTTGAATGAGCTCGAAAGTGCATTTGCTTTTGAACCCCCCCCACACCAAAAGCTGTATACGACACTGATTCGAACTTGGAAGATTTGAGCAGACATTTAAAAAAATTCTTAAGAGATTCATGTGTAAAGCTTTTATCTCATTTGAGAAATTTTTTTTATTACATGCATTTCTTTAATGAATTGAAAATGATAGACGTGTTCCCCTGAGAGTAATCTCTTTTTCCAATCATCTGAATTTGACGGCCTAATTTACAATTTACCTATATCGGTCTGGTTAAGCCAAGTTAAATAGATTTGCCACATTTACAAAATTATTTGACAATTGAAAATTGAACTGCATTTCAGATCCTGTTTTTATTTTCATCAGTTATATGCACGTACATGTACACGTATAAAGATGCAGCAAAAAAAAGAGTGATATGCGATTACCAATACGTGACTTTGTTTTGCTTTTGTGACGCATCTTATGCAACCCCAAATAAATATGTTTTCTTTTTTAAAGGGAAAGTTGTGCACAAGAATGCAAAAAGAGCAAGATATCATTATTTTTTAAGTAATTCACCAAGTTATCTACTAAATGAAAACAATTTACAGTCGTTGTGCTACAACATATTTCCATTTTTCAGGTGAGAAGTAAGAACCGTGAGAAAGATCTGCAGTATATTGTAACATGAGGTTTCACCAAAATAAACTTTAGTGTATGACAACCTTCCCCGTAACTAAATGGACACAAAATATTAAAATTTGTGTTGCATTGACATGATACAGGCTGCTTCGAAAATTTGTTTTGCCTGTACATCCAGTCCAATTCGGTGGAAGTCTTTAGCAGATAAATGAATAACAAAGTATGAACAACTTGACATAAAATGGGCCAGTTGGGAGACGTACATTTTTCATATTGGATACAGTCCTTTTCCAATGTGATGTACTCACCGTAAACTCTGAATTCTGAAAGCCTAAGGAACAAAAATCCTTCAGTAATTGTTGACAGCAGAATCTGTTTCTGTATTGGATTTAAACTTGCTAGCTGACCAAAACAAACTCAGTGACTGAGTGGCCGACATCTGTACCAGCAATAAGGCGGTTATGGGTTCGAATCCCAAGCTGCAAGACAAAACACTAGGGCAACAGTATAAATGCCAATTGACGGTGCCTCTTAACAGCACTATGGTCGAATTGCTGGATTACTAGAGGTTAATCAAAATGAGGATCTGAGTTTGCTCTTTTTAATGCAGTTATTACTGGAAATATAATTTGAAGACTCCTTGGAGAGATTCGGTCACATACATGTATTAGATCTAGAACCCATGCAGCAAAGTTCTCCTCAGCTATCCGTTTCTGTAGCAACAGGGTTAGACTTGCTGGCGTGTTCTGAAGGAGTTGAAACACCCTGCATCTTTCAAAACTTGAGCTGCACTTGGAAGCCGCGGTCTGACCTGAAGCTTGGCCTGACTACACCTTGCTCATCTCCCTTGATGTATTGCCCCTTGATCCTTGCTTCATTCAATCTCTTGTAGTAATTCGCTTTTTTCTGTTGCCTCTTTGACAGTGGTTTGAAGTTTGGATTGCTTGTCATGGATACACTGCGTTGTGGGTCATTGCCTGTTGGTATAAAAAGGAACAGGTGTGCTTTCAAGTGAAGTCATGAAAACGTGCTCTCGATCATGACGCTCGAAAATCTTGTCTGCATGGACAATTCTGCAGATAGTTATGAGGGCTGTGGTGTGTGTCCATAGGCAAGGCATTTTGTCATTATTACTTCGTCCCATGGGGAGGGGAAATTAATCAACCACAGTCCACCACTGAGATGAATTCTATGTGTTATCTTTCTCAAGGATAAAGAAATTGTAGCATGTAATTTTACACTTCTAGTATTTGGGGAGAGTTATATCTTGCATACGGACCTTTGAAGCTTGTTTGGATGTGGTTGGGTTCCCCTTTGTTATGTTTTGGTTTTCTTTTTCGTCTCTTCTTTGCAGGCATGGCATCTGGCTTTGCATTTATTCTGTTTAACTGCGACTGCTGGACTGTGGGGATCTGGGACGCATCAGAACTTGCATCCTGCAAACCGGTGTCCAAACTCTGCTCGAGGTACTTCCTCTCCAGCTCGGCAAACTGGCCAAAATTGAAGCTGAAAAAGACGTGTTGCTGCTTGGGCGGTGGCAGCTGCTGCTGTCGCTGCAGCAACAGCTTCTGTTGTTGTTGCTGCTGCTGTTGCAGTCCCCGATGATATTCTGCCCACATCTTTCGTACGCTCTTTGGCTGTCGTTTCTTCTTCTTTTTCCCCACTGGTACTGCCTGGGTCTCTGCTGGCAATTTTGCCAGTTCATGAGCAATTTCCTGCCTGTACCCGTCGGTTTCTTCATAGTCATCTAATATCTCCTCCCGGTGACTGGCTTCCTGCTTGTGTTGCAAGTCCATCTCCCCTAGAATGGTCTTTCTCTCCATTTTTGGGAGGTGTGACAACTGGTTTTCAAGCTTCTGTTAGGATACAGTAAAACAGAATGTTGTTGCAAAGAACACTGCTGTATCCAACAACTGAACAGGGTTCCTGAACCTAAAGGACAATAAAATTCCATGACTTCTCCATGACCAAATAATGATAAATCCACGACCAACTAACGCAATTTCTTAGACTATTCGGCCTTTTAGGTTGCAAATACAATCAGAGAATTTATTCACTTATTTCTGATAATAGAAATCACCAGTGTTGTATTCGAGACCTTGATGTCCGAGACCAAGACCTAGACTAAGGCACACAAGACCGAGACCTACTCCTTCAAGACCAAGACCAGGACTTCGAGATGGAGACTTTTGCTGGTCGAGACCGGCGCTTACAAGACCAAGACCATGACCTAGACCAACTCCTTCAAGACCAAGACCAGGAATTCAAGACCGAGCCTTTCGCAGATCGAGACCGAGACTGGCGCTTTCGAGACCGAGACCGGCCCTCCCAAGACTGAGACTTTGACAGGGCGAGACCGAGACCGCAAAAAAAGGTCTCAAGACGGTCTCGAGACTGAGACCAGGTCTCGAGACCTACAACACTGGAAATCACACAGGAATTTATGACTTCCATGACAAAATTCCATGACTTTACCTGACCTGAAAAAGGAAAAACAAATTTCCATGACTTTTCATAACTTTTCCAGGTTGCAGGAACCCTGACTGATGTATAACAATGACTTCTTTTTAATAATTTCCACAATAATTCACAAATTCTACCAAGTGTTGATTATAGTTATCAGGGAACTGGCTTACAGTAAACACACTCTCTAACAAGATTGCCCACTCAGTTTTGTTTCTGAAAGGAAAGACCTAAGAAAGTAACGGGTAGATTGTATTATCTGGTCAGGGCAAGAAAAACAACAGAACACAACCTTGTAGAAATATGAAAGGGCTGCGTAGCACCGTGATCAGAATATAGACAAAAATATAACGTATAATCAGTGCTCTGACCTGTGAAATTGCTGAGCTTTCGGTAACTGGGTACCTTCGTCAGGGCAAGCACATTCAGTTCCATCTCCTTGCCCTAACGAAGGTACCCAGTTACTTACCGAAAGCTCGACAATTATACAGTTCAGAGCACTGATTGTATATTATATTTTTGTCTATATTCAGAACCCAATCTTGTGTTTACCTCGTCTGCCTCAGTCTTTGCTTTGGTCTTCTTACGGCACTTCTTGACTAATTGCTCTTTGGTACAATCTTTGCTGTCTGTGGTTGCCAATTCTTTGGAAAAAAAAAACCACCAGAAAATAAAATCACAAAACACAGCTTATTTGCTTCCAGTGCAACTTGGCTGTTTCAATGAGAGCGTGCTCCCCCATGGAATCAGCTTGTTACTCTCAGGACCAAGTACTGTCGGTGACAGGTTCCAAGGATACATTTTACGCAATGGCTAATGGGTTAGATTGACCTGCGGCTGCCAAACAGTCACTGATAGCAGTTAGCCCATACTGGTTCAAGTGTAGCTGCAATGAATATTTATTTTACACAATTTTTCTGCATCTTTGTACTCTTCCTCTTTGTATGAAAACTCTTTACACTCCTATTTAGTTAAATGCACTGAAAAGTGCATGTTTTTAAACAATGAAAATTATCCATGCAACTGAGGGCACTGTTGCTGTGACATCATCAAGGGAAGACATGGTTCAGTGCATGGGTGTTTTGATCAAATTGTGAACCCAGAATTTACCTCCTGAAAACATTTCTGAAAGAGGGATTGGTGCTTTCTTGTTGCTATGCACAGAAACAACAATGATTCTGCAAAGAAGAGAAAACTTGGTCCAGGAAACTCTACAAAAGTGCAGGACTTTTTGTGTACAAACCAATGTAACATTGAGGCTTCTTCCTGAGATTACATCACAGTTTTGCTCATGAATATGGAAATCTCATTAGCATAAATCCCCCAAAGGTGTTAAAATATCCTTTGAAATAATGAAACAGAAGTTGAATATAAGATTGGTAGAGGCAAAAAGGTGCATTTAAGAGGTTTGTTATCACAAAAATCTATTGCAGCCACCCTTTAATGTAGACAGGGAATGTCTTTCCTATACCAAAAGGTCTTATTCCCTGTATGCTGCTCCAGGTTTCCCTGCCTATTGCGGCCCACCTCACTGATTTTAGAATTTTGTTTGCCCTCCTCACACCTCAGGGGAAACCCTGTGCTGTTCCCTAAACTGGGTCATTGGAATCAACTTCTGGTCTTGACGAATGTTACACCATCTCTCAACTCACCCACTGGTTCCAGCTTTCGTTTCTTTCCCTTCGTTCCCTGTTCTGCAGAGGGAGCTTGTATTTCGTTTGTCTTGCCTGTACTGCCTGCTGCTGTGAGAGATTTTGCTGCAGCTGCAGCAAGTTTTTCTGGGACAAAAAAGAGCAAATCCCCCAAAGCCAATGAAACCTTCTCAACATCTGTACCCATACAAATTTGGAAAGCAACTGGTATTTTCTGCTGTACCGGCAAATTGGTAGAATGGACTTAACCCCCAAAAGGTCACATGACAAGCAGGAATTTAATTTGGGGAACTGTTACATTGCAGAAGAGCACTTTAACAAGTCTGTGTGTCAATATTAAAGTTGAGATCTAAACCGCTACACAATCTTTTTCCAAATCACAGCTTCACCTTTAGCTCCACAACGAGTTTTAAACATTTGATGTTGAAACCAAAATGAGAATGCCCAACATGTTGGCATTATCAGAAAAATTGGAAGAATCTGAGGCTGAATTTTTGTCTCGGGAGACTCAATCCACAAAACTGAAACCTGAGGGAAGATGAACTTCTGCAAAGTTGCACTTCAAACAAATGATTGATCGTTCACCTGCTCGCAACCTCTTCCTCTTTGTTTTGCGTCTCTCCTTCTTGGGGGCAGCGGGGGGCAGCCTACTGTCCACCTCTGCACCGGGCCCTGGGGCATGGAACCCTCTGGCATCCTGAGGTGGCTTAGACCTGTCCAGCTGAACTTGCCGGAACCGTTGTGGGATCTGACCATACCGAACCACGTACGGTAAGACCAGAGGCATGTGCTGCTCCATGCGGATCTCCAAGCATTCCTTGGGTGACCAGGTATTAAAACCCATCCCAATGAACATTCATGGAAATCATTCCTTGTTATATAAGCTCATTTCTGCCAACGTTGCCAGGGTCCAAAATGGCAAAAAATTGGTGAAAATGCTAAGTATTGGTATAAGATCCTTTGTGTGTCTTGACAAGGGGGAATGCTTTCAATAGTCACACATTTTGCTTGACAACAGGTCTCGACATTAACGTCGGTCCGAATGCCCGGAACAAGTAATTTCTTCTTTTGGGCAAGTAAAAATCAAGGCCAAATTGGCACTGTTTTCTGATTTTTTTTTGTGTCTAAGAATAGCAGTCAGCAAATTTACCTTTGATTTTTTTTTCCTCTTTAAAAAAGCTTACAAAAAGTGGTTAAAAGTATATAGCTGTGTGGCGTAAAATGATTTTTTGCACCATTATGTACATGTCTGTAAGGAACAAACTCGTGAGTATTAAGCAGGGCACCTTTCCACACAAGGGAAAATGCGTACACAATTGAACTGTAATTTAATCACACAAAAAAATTACACTATGGAAGCTTGCTTCAAGCAATTTCAAATGAAAAGCGTCAAAAAATCCTACAACGATTTAAAATGTAAAATTATTCATTATTATACTGATCATAATGTACAACTGTGTGTGTTATTGCAATTGATTTTGTATATGGTTTGTTCATCAACAATCTACCGCTCTGTGCGACCGAAAATTCGGATATTCGATCAAATTGAAGGTTGAATATTCGAATGGTGAATTATTTGAATTGGCTCAGCCCTACTTACATGACCAAAGTGACCCTCCTTGCCGCAATTGTAACAAAAGACTTTGCCGTTCACTGCCACCAGCTTGCTAGTCTCTGGCCTGGATTTGTCGCACTGGATGTTGCCTGGCTTCGTCTGCAACCACAGAGGAACAAATCATCTTGCATCTTCACCTCTTGCAACATGGTTAGAGCAAATTCAACACACTTTTGACTTGTTAACTGTGTTTTCTCCTTTACAGGTGTTATTTAAAAATAAAGCCACAGCCAAGGAGATGCACCACACTGACATGCACGTCACCACACTGTTGGTTGAAGATGCAAGTTTGAAACATCTCAGTGTAAGTGGATTTTACATTCAAGACTTACTGTTAGATGATACTGTCGCCATCTATCAGGGCAAAGCTGAAGGAAAAGATCAAGAAAACATTTGTAAGATTTCCAACTCAGGCTCTTCAAAACACTGTACATGTACATATTATTTGGAAGACCATTTTTGGAGCAATTGCTAATGATGAAAACGAGCTTCCAAATTCCAGAACGGCTTGATATTTAACAATAATTCTGAAAACAAGAAGATATGTTCCCACTGAGTCTTGAGAAAGAGAGAAATTATGCATGTATATTGTTGTCACACTCAAACCCCAAATGCTGAAGCTACATGCCAAGCACCAATGTAAAGATACAGCATGTTTGAGCACATTCAGATGAAAATGACTCAAGTGCACTCTTTTGCCCCATATCAGTAGATTGGGAACTCAAACCATTGAGCAACTGGCATTTACAAGAGGGCTGTACCTGTTCTGTATGTCCCTTCATGGAGCATCGACGACAAGTCAGGTACCGCAGTTTCTTGTTGGGACATCTTTTGGCATTGTGCCCAGGCTGAAAACAGATATAGCATAGGGCATTTGAGCATTGCCGAGACCTGTGACCCTGGGTACCACAAAGTGTGCATGTCTGTATCTTTTCTTGCTGAAAGAAAGAAAAGAAAAGCTCCACAATTAAAAATACAAAAAAGAATGAATGCATGTCAATTGTTTGTTTTGCTGAATGTGTCGCACATTATGAAGTGTTAAGATCTCTTTGTTTGGTGTGCTGACTTTATGAAGTGCTAAGATCTCTTGGTTTGGTGTGCTGACTTTATGAATTACTAAGGTCTCTTGGGCTGGTGTGCTGACTTTATGAAGTGCTAAGATCTCTTGGTTTTGTGTGCTGACTTTATGAATTACTAAGGTCTCTTGGGTTGGTATGCTGACTTTCAGAATTTGGAATGTAGTTTGGCGGGTCGTAGGTTTGCGTCCAACCTTGAGGATGCAGTGCTTACATGTAAGCTATGACAAGATTAACAACACCTTCCATTCGTCCAGGAGGGAACTGAGATTGAGATGATGTTTCAGTGAGCAGTCTATGCAAAAAGGGCAGCAATGAGCTGCACGATTGCCAGAAAGCAGAGATGGTCGGGGAATTACGGGCCCACTTGTGTCCTCAGGCAAGATACTTTGCAACTAACTGCTTCTATTGATCCAGGAGAGAACTGAGATTGAGATAGACTGAGCTCGTACACTTGCCAGAAAGCAGAAATGGTCTGGGGAACTATGGGCCCACTGGGCAGGGGTAACTTTTTACAATGTAAAAACACTTTCATAATGTTAAAACAGTATACATTACCAGTAATTATCCATTCTTACAAATCTCTGTTGTTTTTTTTTTGGGGGGGGGTTGGGGGAAGGAGCCACTTACTTTTAGATTCGGACAGTGTCTGTTCATGTGACCATACTTGGAGCAGTTGAAAAATGTGTATGGCAGACCTTCGGACTCTTGATAATAGCGGTGTATTGTGCGTTTGTTCTCATTCAACGAACTCTGGGAATCCTGGAGAAAGATGGGATTTAAGCATACATATACAAGACAAACTTCAATATAAAGGAAATTACAATATTCATAAAAATTATTATTATTTTAGTTTCTGGTAATGACCCTAAGGATTGCTCAAGTGAGCGCCCAAGGCACTGTAAGCTTCAAGCCTTGAAGAAACCTGTAGATATGAGACAATGAGAGGCAGTTATAGTTTCAAAGGTGGGAGGAAACTCCCACAGGAATATTCTGGGTAAAACCCATGGAATCAGGTAGGGACTGAAAACCCAATCCACATGTGGACCGGGCCGGGATTTGAACCCGGGACCACAGAGGTGGAAGGCGAGGAAAGGACCACTACACTCACCTGACTTCCCAGTCAGGCAGAAGTGTCTAACTGCCTCATGCAGGTAATTTACAAATGGCTAAGCACAATTCTCCAACAACTCAAAGTTTGAAGTTTACTATAACTGTTCTAAGTAGTGATCTTTCATGACCTCTCACCTGCTTGTGAACCTTCCCTTGCATGGGGTCAGAGTCAAAGTTCACATTCAGTGCCTCATCCTCACTGTGTGACTCTATCACCATGGCTTCTGAGTAATCGTCTTCACTGGACTCATTCTTCAACTCGTTTAAAATGCTTCTCAGTTCTGCATCAATGACCGTTCTCTTCAGTTTTACCCTTGTCGATGTTTTGACTGGATTGGTGATGCCAGTACTATCTCCAGAATTCCGCCACTGCCGTTTTGTTGCTTTGTCCGGTGGAGACGGTTCCGGAGTTGGTAACATTTGGTCCGTGAAGACAATTTCAGAATCGCTGTAGGAACCCACGTCCGAATCACCTTCTCTGCAGTTGATTGATACAACATCAATGTCATTTCTCATCTTCAAGTACTTGATTCTCCCCGTTGAACCCTCTGCCTCACCACTGCTAGACGAAATTTCAATCACAGATGCGGAACTACTCTCTGCCTCTTTGCCAGATTTGGTTTTAGACTTGATTGCTTTATATTTGGATTCACTCTCTGAGTCAGACCCGTGTACCGTCAGTGTCTGAGGACTGTCACTGTCGAATGTCTCCCTGTGGTCCTTTATAGACTCAACCTGAGTAGATTTGGCAAAGTCACATGCTACGCTGCCACTTATAGGTTCAAACACTTTCTCAGCTTTTGCCGAAGTCAGACTCCTTCCTTTTTCTTGAATGCCTATTCTGGTATCTATCCTTTCAATCGTAATGTCCTCTCTGCCTAATCTTTTGATTGTTATATTGGAGAGAGTCTCTCCACTGCATTGTGGGAGTAAGCCCTCTGCTCCTTCTCCAGGGGTGGAGCCATGATCCTCCGGGTAGTCTTCGGCGTAGTGAATGCGTTGGAGGAGGGCTTCCTCTATTTCTCCGATTTCGTCTTCACTCGAGTCTTGTTCACTTTCTTCCTCGCTGTTCTGCAAATCATTGTCCCAATCGCTTCCTTTGCCAGCTGTGATAATTCTTTGCAAGGGATCCATCTTTGGCTGAGATCGGTGAATTTCAACTTACAGTTACTGCCACTGAATTGAAAAGGAAATAACCAACCTTGCTTGTACATGTACATGTATTTGGATTAGCAAATTTTTACAAAACAATGTAGGCCTAAAGACATTGAGTTAGTAGTTTTGTACAGGGGAAATCCATGTAGGGGGAAACCGCTCCTGGACAGACTAAAACTCTTTGTCGTAAGCATGTTAGGCTCAATTTACAGGTTCGCATGGTCACGGTTTAGTGCACAATTGAATTTATTGAAATGTAGTTGATACTGATAAGTGATAGACATTGCAGTCATTATGGTCATAACTACTTCCAGAACTGTCAGGCATGACCTGTGCGCAAGTTGTACCTTACAGTTTTAGAACTTGAAGTGAGTCATGACAGTCATGATGATTCTGGAACTTTTGTCAACATGTTCAACTTACGACTGTTTGATGTTTCAAATGATCTTGACAACGAACATGATGAATGACCCAGATTACTTCCTGAACAGTAAGGTACTATTCCGTAGACCTTACTGCACCCCACCTTTTTGATGTTTCCGGCATTTTGAAAGTTGCCCGGTTGGAGTACCAGATGAAGCCTCCATTTGCACTTTCTGAAGCAAATCTTCCCCTAAAAAGCTGATAATAATAGCTAATCCATATGGAACTGATTACATGATTATATTTTGTAGCGTTTAATCTATATTCTATATGGCAAAACTGAGGTTTTTCCTACCATCTTTACCTCTTGTTCCTCAACGATCTGTGCATATCTGCATTCTCCGGGGCCGTACGTCACTTGACAAAGACAGGCACAATGTGTTCGTGCAATGAAAATTTATGTTGCTTTGGATACCAGTCCCGATAATTGTGACTACTCCCGCTAAGATTAGGCCAATGAATAGAGACGTCTGGGAAATCTGTAAACAGCTAGCTTGACAACGCAGCATGTATCGCGCACTCTGACATCGCTGCCCCCCCCTTGCAAAATGATCGAGCCAATATGCATGTATGTGAATAGTGTGGTTCCGTGAAAACAGATTTCCCAGACATCTCTATACATAATCTTAGCGAGAGTAGTTGGAATTATGGGGACTGATATCCAAAGCAATAGGCCTAAACGTTCTTTATGTAAATATGCTGTGCCAGTTTGTGTCACGTGACGCACCGCCACGGAGAATGCAGATGGGTGCGGATCGTTATGGGATGAGAGGTAGGCCTAAGGATGGTCAAAAAACCCTCATTTTGGGCCAATAATATAGTTTAAACGCCACAAAATACAATCATGCCTGGTCATGCTGGTACCATGGGTAGCCAGTTCCACTAGTGTTTAGTGGAAGATTTACTTCAGAAAGCACAAACGGAGGTGTTATCTGGTAGGCCTAGGCCTACTCCAACTGGGCAACTTTCAAAATGCTATAGCATGCGGAACCATGAAAAAGGTGGAGTGCAGTAAGGTAAACAGAAAAGGCCTAGGCCTACTCAAACGACTGGGAAGTACCAGACTAGGCCTAGTACATGTCACGCGTGTCTAGGCCACAAATTCAGACAATCACAAGCCGGACAAGACACGAGAAAAAAAAAGAAAAATGGCTACATATTATTCACAGTCACTGACAGTCACACCTTATTTGAGGATCCCTCTCTAGACTCTGTCATTTTACGTCACGTTACATATAAATCACGTCTTAAAACTCGAGGAAAAACATCTCTCCTGTTGATCACGTCTGGCATGTCAGCTTTTCCTCGTGTTGATGTGTTGCAATGAAATATGTATACA